GACTTCTTTGGATCTTAAGTTGAATAGAATTGGAAATACAGGAGCAACAGCTTTGGCAAAGGCTCTAGAATCAAATTCCTCTCTAACTTTTTTGAATATCCAGTATAATAAAATTGGAGATACAGGAGCAACAGCTTTGGCAAAGGCTCTAGAATCAAATTCATCTCTGGCTTCTTTGAATCTTAAGTTGAATCAAATTGGAAATACAGGAGCAACAGCTTTGGCAAAGGCTCTAGAATCAAATTCTTCTCTGACTTTTTTGAATCTCCAGTATAATAAAATTGGAGATACAGGAGCAATAGCTTTGGCAAAGGCTCTAGAATCAAATTCATCTCTGGCTTCTTTGAATCTTAAGTTGAATCAAATTGGAGATACAGGAGCAACAGCTTTGGCAAAGGCTCTAGAATCAAATTCCTTTTTGACTCTAAACTATAGTTTAAGTTCTACTCACCTCGTCCCATACTAATACTAAGAAAGGAGAGGAGCAAGAGTCATTTAGGGTTAGTATAATAGCCTTATTATTATGTGATTGTTATTGTGTTAATGAAACTGCTTATTATTATGTAATAAACAATAGCCATTATACTAGTGGCTCAACTTGTGAAATATTTCTTATTATTATTTATATCATGCTCATTTTCAAAGGTGTATAAAAACAGATTAGGATTACAACATCCTATTCTTATTATTAACTAAAAAACTGCTATGCAGTGCACTAAATTTTGGTGACTTTTTAGTTATACGACAAAAAATTTAATAGACATAAGTCATTTAGGTGAGTTGATGCATCTTTGCAAGTTGCAAGTGGAAAAACAATACAGCGGGAATATAGCAAATGCTATGTAAACCCTTTGACCGTAAGCTTACACATAAGCCTAAGCATAAGCAATAAGCGATAATTAAGACCTTTAACTCGCGCAGCGGCACCTGCCAGATCACACAACCTGCCAAGTCGTGCATCAAATTGCAATTTTCAAGGGGAAATCATTACTTCAAAAATCGTTTCAGGACCGTTCTTATTATTATGACTCTTATATTTTTTAATGGCAAATTCTGCCTGTCGTCCAATTCCTTCCTATAGCAATCATAAATCGTATTATCTGTAGGGAATAGAATCAAATGCAGATGGAAGAGTTTCCTTTAAACCGTTCCAAAATGTTGTTGTGTATATCGTTTAGCAGCGCCCCAATATTAATCTGCTGGTTTTCGCAAGCTCACGACAGTGTTACCCATATTAAAGAGCGAAAAGTTTTCGTTTTATATCCAAAGTTCATGTAACACAATTTTTACTTTTTGTTAAAGCCTTAAGAAATGGGCCAATTTAGGATAAATTTTACCAGAAAAGGCTGTTTCAAATTTCTGCTCACTATATAAATTAACTAAACTTCGAACAGTTATATCTCAAACCACATGTATCATTTTGTCAATTTTCTAAACATAATTTGTTAATATTAATATTTATCAAGAAGAACAAAATGGCGTTCTTAAATTTTGAATTATTAATACAGTAATGCTTGTCCCCCATCATACAGGGCTCAAATATTATGATTCCAATATTTAATTAGTCTACTACTTTGGTAATTGTGTCGGCATCCGCACAATATGACATGCCGTGTAACATCCCAATTTGGTGTGATCAGAAAATTTTAACGACGAGTCTTGTCGATTATCAATTATGATGGTCTAATTATAATGGGAATACACTGTAATCGCAAGCGAATACTGGCATTCTGGGATAAATTCAGTAGAATACATTGTATTGATAAATTTAACATCCAGTGCAATACAAATCATGTGAGAACACGTACATATTCAAGTTCCATTGCTAAAAATCGATATCGAGTCCTATTCTTTGGATCTGATAATTTCTCACTCGCATCGTTGCGAGCATTGGTGAGCGAACAAAGTACGAATATAGAAATATAGTCAATAATCAGGATACATTGATATTCCGCTGAATTGATAACTTGCGTTGTTGTAGAACATACCTCATCAGTTATCGACAATATTGAAGTAGTATCTCCACCCGATCAAAGGACAGGAAGGAATATGAAACATATCAGCAAAAGTAAGTAAATTCAATCCCATCCTACATAATGTGACGTCAATTAATCGACAGTTACTACATGTGTTTCCAAAACTTGTGGTTTTTATACCACAGCCCTGGTAAAGCAGTTTGCAGAAGAACTGGGGATGATAGTACATGACGCTCCTCAAAAGTCACTTGACGGTTGGAAGGTGCGCGCTTGGGATTCTTCATAGATTTGTTTAGTATACTTGACCATAACCTTAATAACCCTCACATAGCCCCCATCTTTGTTTGATCTTGGAATAGTTGTGTCATTTGGGTATTTTATCCCGGCAAGTGTATTAAAGACGTTTAGCAAAGGTGCCATAAATGTTCATCCTTCTCTTCTACCAATGTAAGATTATAGAGCTTTGAGGAAATGCGTCATTTGCGTTGCAACAATTTTTGTGCTACCTCTAACGGTCTGATATAGTCTCATTCGACATTGATAATTATTCAATCAGGTATAGGGGTGCGTCGCCAATACAATATTCTATACTAAACGGAGACATTGAGACTGGGATTACTATTCAGGAACTGCATCATGAAGTGTTTGATGCAGGCCGAATATTGAGACAGATAAAAATGGTTTGCATGATATTTATTCAGTTTGGGTAATCTGCTAATGTTATACTTTGATCTAATACCATGGCATAATTTGCAAGTCCATTCCACCCAGGTCAACCTATAAATCGCTTGAATCGGTACTTGCCGAACAAGGAGCAGAGCTATTAATAGATACAATCAAAGATTTGGACATGATTCGTGTATGTATAGAGTATGGATACCTTCTGACACAAATATAGTGTATCTCATTATTTTAATTGCACTTTATGTTACAGTCTAAAGTAAGAGAACAAGACTCTGAAAAAGTCACGTATGCTCGTAAGATCCAGAAAGAGATGTCTTATATCAATTGGTTCGATCAGACAGCAGAAGAGATCGAGAGGTTGCATCGAGCAATTTCACATCAGGTACGATGAAATTGATTGTCTGGCAGTTCACCAATCTACTCTTCACTCATCATCTCTCTCTCCTCTTTTTTTTTTTTTTTTTTGGCTCGAAATCCTAGTATACACTCCGTACAACATTTCTTGATAGACAAATCCAACTTACTTCTGTCTCTCTCCCACCTTCCGATTCTCTCCCATTAACACAATCACCCTTATTTCCAGGTACATTGTTTTATGACAAGCACTCCAAAAATCTTCTCATTGCTTGCAAGGATAACTCGTTTATATCTTGCGATAGAGTGAAAATGGAACTCAAAAAGGATATTGATGTTAAAGATTGGGTTAATGGTTATGATATTGTTAGTGGAGAGACAAGGTTTGGCACTTGAACATTGTAAAAATTAGGAAGGGAGGGTAAGGCCAATATGAAAAGGGCATTCAAATCAGCAGACTATAAATGATCCTCTTAAAATATGCTAGTATCTCGTGCCACATTCAATTGTAACTAAATCAGGCAACAAGAATGACTTACCATCTCTTTAGACAAATTGCTTCCAATCATAAACCGCGTATTATGTAGAATAGATGGGTTTTCAAAGAAAGTAGCTACTGTACGAGGACAAATATTCGGTATTAGAAAAAGACAATGCGACGGTGGGTTTAGCGTAAATCATGCAGATCATATATCAAAGGGAGAAAGTTAACACAAGTTGCGGATGTCGGCATCGACAAGTGAGGGGATCGGGATTGCATATCATTGTCATCAGCTATTCATTGCTGTAAGAATGACACCCTATCCTAAAGACATTTGCTTGACATTCGGCACTGGCAACGATTATAAATTTCAGTCCAGAGACGTGTAATTTTTACTCTATATATTAAAATAACGGATATTGTCAAATCTATTTTAACTTCATTTATTCTTGATGGGATCGGCTATAATCGAAAACCGAAGGAAAAGAAGAAAGCGAAAGGAAAAAAGGGGGAGGAAAAAAAAGGAGAAAAGAAAAAAAAGAAAGTCTATAAGTTTGGTTCCGGATCTTTGAATGATATTTTTTGGGGGGAGAAAATGTCCTTTTGAGGAGTATGTTCCATGCATAACTAATGAGAAAATTAGTTGGATTGTATAATTGTTCATTTTATGGTTGAGTTTTGAGAGAGTTTACACACTGGAAATCGCAACCTACTTGGAGAGATGAATACACAAATACTTTCCAATAAATACAGTTTAATATATTATTATTTACTGACTATATACCTTTCGAAGGTTAAATCTTCATGAGCATAACACCACTCCTCTTTACATTATTTAATATCCTCCTTGATAGTAACCACCGCCCTGATTATTTCCTCCTTGTCGGCTTGGTCCCCCAAACCCGACGTCTTCAAATTGCCCCTCTTGTTGATAGCCATATTGTTGCTGCTGCTGTTGATATGCTGTGCCTGCAGCATAGTCATAATATGCCGGCTGAGGGCTAGGATCTTGAGATCGAATAGATGATGAATCAAAGTCTTCATAACCGCCGCCTACTAACTGTGTTCGGTCGTCATCTCCTGTCATAACCTCATGTGTATAGTGTGTTGGAGCAGCCTGTTGCCTTTGTTGACGCTCTTGGCGCTTAATACGACGAAGTCTTGATTTTTCCCAGTCTTCCCATCTCTTGAGCGGGACTTTGCTTGCATCGAATTGTCCTTCTTTTTTACTATGATCATCACCTTTGGCTTCACCTTCGACTTTCCTGGTTTCACCCCATGAAAAGTCGTCAAAATGCCAATAAGCATATGTTGGTAGAATAAAGTTCCATACAGGTAAAGCCAATAGATATACTGTCATCCATGAAATATATACGAGTTTTCTTGTTGTAAGAAGAATGAGAATAGCTGGAAGACCAAGTACCATTGCCAACATCAGTAGAGGAATTGCATCGGAAAAGTCCTTTGGTGGATGTATGATCATAGTGACAATCAACGAGTACGTCAACATAATGGCGACTGGAAGTACGACAGTACCGATCAGCTCCATAAATACAACAAACTGCATAGAGAAGCAGAAAGTACCGCAAAGATTGCGGACAAGCACCAATTCCATGAGATTGTGAATAGTAGAGTTGATCCATCGACGACGTTGTGAGAGCAAGACGTTGAATTCATCTGGCACAACAGTTTTACAGACAGCTTGTGGACAGAACATCATCTTACGGTATGGGAAGTTTCTCAACATCAGTGTAGTCAGGAAACGATCTTCACCGAGAAGCAACAAGTTTTTCTGATGGAGAGTCTCGACAACGTTTTGAGAATATTCTTGGACAATTTCAGGTTTTGTAATAATGGGAACCCAGTCATCATCACCCTTTCGAGCTTTGAGTCTATACATACAGAAACAACCGGGAAGACAGGTAACACCACCGAATACTGATTCGAAACCTTTTCCAAGATGATGAGATATGTAGTATTCGAAGACTTGAATAGCGGTAACCCATGAATCGCGTTTGTTGGCAATCTTTGTTTCACCACAGAGACCCATGATCAAAGGATCATTACACATACAGTTAATGAGTAATCTGAGGGAGCTTTCGTATACTTTAGTGTCTGCGTCAACCTGTGGAACAAGAAACGAGAATGACGTGGTGAGGATAAATTTAGAGGGCAACAACAACGAATAATACGCATTACACATATTCTTACCATTAATACAATCTCAAAGAAATCTGGAGTAACGTTCATAAGACGATGACATTTTCTGAAAAGATCATAATCCAATTCTGACATCCGATCATTGTACGTAACACGGCTGAAAAAGTTCATCAAGATCAATTGAGAGTCACGCTTGCCACGATTTCCTGGTTTCGGTTTTCCTTCTTCTTCTGGATTACCACACTTTACAACTGTAACCATGGGAATCATACGATTCTTGTAGGGAAAGTGTCCGGCATATACTTTGGCTCTGTTATGTTGTTTGTTACCAGCAGCAACAGCAATGTAACTCTGTGGCTGTGGGTTGTCAAACTCCGGAAGAAGTTTCATGAGATTAACACAAATATCAGGAGTGCTCTGACTATTACCACTGCCGGTGATAACGCCGTCACATATAAGGAAAAGCAGTTTGCGTTCGTCGGGATAGTCGGTAGCAGCCATAGACTCGCAAGTGACGCGTAAACCTTCTTCGCCTTCAGAATAGCAAGTAACGAGCAACACGGTATACAAATCCTTGCCTACAGTGTCCATAGTGATCGTCTTGGCGACAGTACCAGATTCATTGCGATGAATCCATGGGGCAGCGCCTCCGCTTCGTGCGCCTCCGGGTAACACTTGAGGAGATACTACTTGCTTAGCTGATTTCTTTGGCTCCTTGGCAAGACGATGTGAAATAAACCAATCGAATATCACAGCCATGATGAAACGGGTCATGACAATACTAAGAATAACGGTCAATGATACGTATAAGAAAAGCTGAGATGTAAAGCATCCAATTGTTGCCTTGTCGATATGGCCGGCATAGTATTTAGAAACCAAGCAATTGACCGTAGCTTTGAGAGTTTCACGACCAAAGAAGAGACGAGTGGCATCCTTTCCACCTTCAGGATGATCGGTTGTCAATACAGTTCGAATGGCAGTGTCTAGGTCGTCGCCTGGGATAGGTTTAGCAACGGCAGTCATGTATTGATCTAGGTTAAGCACATTACCATCAATTACAAGGTAGTTTGGCAAATCAGCTAGTTGTTTCCAGTCGTAACCGACTCTTTTCGTGGTGTTTACAAGGTTAAGAGCGTCTAATACATTCGTCGAGAAATCGCCGGCTTGACATGGGTTAGGCGTAGCCGTTGTTTTTACACAGAATTCCTGCTTGACAGCTGCGAATCTTTGGATATCTGGATTTGCACATGCTGTTATACTAGCCACAGTACGACGAAAATTATTAGTGACATCTTGCCCGGTCTGGGCATTTGCCAAATTGAAAAAGTTTACTTTGTCGATTTTTGATGCAGAGACGTTATACTGCCATCCGAGAATGCCGACTAAGCCTGTAAGGACGGGGGGAGGTTGGGGGAGAATGACAGTTAGTATGATATGGATGATGATGGTGTAGATGTGTGTTAGAGTCGTTACGACATCAACAAATCACAAATTCCCAATTACGGCATTGACCATTCTATAAACAACTAGATCTTACCTGCATTTGAAGGATCAGCAAATCTTAAGAATTGGTCTGGATTCTTGGCTTCAGAGGGCGGACATAGGACTACAGTAAAGCCTACAGTCAAAAAGGCCACTACGCCACCCAACACGACGGCAATAAAACATAATGCTATTTTTTCACGCCATGCTTGCTGTGATTGTTTATCGCCTAAACCGCCGATAGAAGACAGTAGTGTGCCAGGAGCCCAGAAGGTAACTATTCGAGAAAATAGTACCCAGGGATCCCATGTGGTGGATTCTTTTTTGCCAGTTAATAAAGGTGCTGCAGCTTGGAAACGTTCAGGTCTGTTGAGGGTTTTGCCACGACGAAGATTGCCTTGAGCTTGAGTAGCATAACCAGGATCCATCGTGTTTTTTATAGCGTAGTTAGTTGTTTGAGGTCGAGTGTCAAGTATTTATATTGCAACCTAATTTAATTTATTTATTTATTATAGTAAGGATGAGGGCTAGGGGTTGGGGGGACTTGGAATGTGTGTTGATAGAATACTTATTATTCGCGAACCTTTTGTAAATTTGGTAAGGGATATTGCGGACTTTTGTGGTATTATAAGGGAAGGACAAAAGTTAAAGGAAAGAGGGAAAATAAGCCGCTTGTGAACCCTTTAAAAAAGGTTGCGCTTAGCAGGCGGTGGAAGAGGGGAGAAGAGAGATGGAAACTATTTCGAATCCGCCCCTATCCCGTATAATGATTCCTTTTGTTTGGGAGCGTGGTACAATGTCATAACTCTGTCCTATAAACCCGTTTTGAATAATTAATCATCCGTTACAAATGCAGGCGATCTGCATTCACAAATCACTGCTCGGCTAAGCAAAATAGTTTGCTAAACAAATGGAAACATGAAAGACGATCAGGGGGAGCACAAAGTGGTAATGAGCGAGGCTTAGATATCTAAGCCGTATACTGTGTTTGCCACAAGGCAACTCGTGGGGAAAAGGGGGTGGGTCGAAAACACTAAAGCTAAGCTTATTACCAGTATTACGTAGGCATAGTTCAGCCGAGAAAAAGTTGCAGCCATATCTGGGTATGCAAAAGCCACAACCGATTTCAAGGATCGAAGCCACGAATGTTAAACAATACATGTGTGTTACACTACCTACCTACCTTCAATCAGTATATCCAATATTAATGTACATTCCCTCACCTCCGATAACCTATAACAATGCACCATGAATAGCCTCGTCAGAATTAGGTTTAGAGGTTAAAAGCCTCCCGCGAGTATTCAATCGCAGTTGCAGGCATGGATTAGCGATATTTGCAGCAATTGAAGCATGTCCAACATCCAATAATATTGCATAATTAAATGCAGTTGTAAAATTTATAGTTTGGTTGCCACAAGGCCTGGAAAGGACAACACATCAGCAAAACGGAACGACGATCAACTGTATAAGGATGTTCTTCCTTTTTTTATTAACCATAATAATAACGATAAAGAAACATGCGTTGAAATATAAATACTCTGCAATCAACGTTTTGACCCAGCAGTAAAACAACACATGCTCAGCAGTTAGACAGTTCTTCTTGCACCTAATTAGTGTCGTTCCTCGTGCTTGCTTCTTGATTGAGCCTTGTCGATAACCAATCGCCAAACGACAATCCAAACAGTGATATATGCACATACTAACGCTAATTAGCCAACCGATCGAATCCGATTATAAATTTGTGTCTCATCGTGGGCTTGCACAATTTAAAATTAACGAGACAAAAATAGACATAGTGAACTGAATACCACAAAATGGTTTCAGGGGCGCAAAACTATTTATTATTATTACGATCCTGCTTTCCGGATCATGTTTTTTGTCCGAATCAACTGTTTATAACGAAGATGGTACAAGTGTTAAATCGAGTTATTGGTGGTATTGTGATCAAGCAAAGATGAGCATACTAATACTTGGGATATTAATCACGATAAGGTTACTTTGGATCATATAATTTTCACTGTACATAGTATGATCATCATGCTCTTTATGCATCGCTTGTAAGAATCGGTTTTCTCTCCGCAGCAGTCAATCGATGACCGAAAAAGATTGCCTCTATATATAGACTGGCGCGTGTCAGAAAGGAGACCAAAAGTAGCCCGGGAAATGTTATTCATAATAATAATAATAATGAATGATATGTAAAGAGTTGGTGTAACGACTGTCTGTATATTATGTATATATGGGAATATTATAAGCGGTCAATATTATCTTGTTTGTTTCTATCACTATCCCTATTTAACTATTAAATGGCATCAAATATTTTTAAGGGTCATAGTCATCGATCCGCGCATTTTTTATTTCAATAAGCTAACTAACAGCCGAAATTAGTAAAGCCTATTCAGTTTGATGGTTTGGGCCCGCATCTGTTTCATTTAAAGATAAGGATTTTAGTTCCTTTAGCAAAATCAAATTTAGTTGAGTTGATTTAAGGAAACCGTTGATATTTTTGCGTCACTCGATTTTTTGAAACCAAGCATTGAAAACCTTTCTGCTCTCATGGCAACACTGTCTATACGATTCTATTCGTATATTGTATCGTTTCTTAGTCAGTCCAAAGTTACAGCATGCTTGAATCTATTATGTCCAGTTTAAATCAATACGTTCGTAATAACCAAATACGTGTAAAATCAAGTACTAACATTAGTTTGATTCTGTCTACTAGCACTAATATTTTTACTTTATTCAATTCAACGAGTGTGTATCATTGGGAACTTCCCTATAATTCTGTCCACAATTGGCGTACTGCTTCGTCTAATATTAACGAATACGTCTTATGTAAATTAATCTTATTTACATGTATATATGGACATCTCGTGCTCAACAACAACGCTGGCACATTGTATCTTTGCCATCAGGCAAGTTCACGCGTTAGAACAGTCACTGTGAATGTGTATATACAGTAATCAGTATTGTATTCATCAACTATTTACTGTAAACGAGTTGTAAGTATAAATGGGTAATCATTAATAATGACATCAAACATAGAAAGTTAATATTTCGCTTTGCTTTAATATTGTTGTACCTCAGTGGGACCTGTCTCAGAGACAACTTCTGGACTGTGTGATTGGGTGGGTTCCGAACTGAGACAGGCAGTATTATAATAGTAGTCGTATGTGAAGGGAGTTTTATTTCTGGCATGAATTAGACAGTCAGTATTTTAGGACGCAGAGCGTGAATTATGAATAAATGTTATTACGTAAAACGATATATTTGCTTTACTATACATATAAGGTTTGACTTAGAGAGAGAATGTCGCTTGATCAAGCACGGACATAATAAGACATCGTATATGAGAACGCTTTATTAATAATTGATGCATAGCGTGGACAGAATGTATTTGACCAGAAAACACTTCTTTATAAAAAAGTGGGAGTGGAGTGAGAAATACTTAGAGTAATCAGAATTTAATAGCAAGCTATACCGTGTATAACTGACCAATGTATCTAAATTTTACGATATAAAATTGTTCTCGACAATGCACGCGATTCTTTACGTCTAATACAAATTTGCTTGCTTGGTTGGTTATGTTATTGATAGTGTTATTGATAGGATGTGAGTGGACTATTAACTAAGCTGCTATAAAAAAGCTTTTGATTGTCAATTACAAGTTCATTGCTGATAAGCGGAATAACTTAGTTTATGACTTCGAACTGATTTCACAGTTATAGGTTGATTTCTTTAACGTCTAAACATACCACAAAAGACCACTCGGCTATAATCAGCGTATCTTTTGGCCGTCGCTTCGTAATCTAAGTCGTATTTTTTCACGGGGCGAATACCCAGCAGACTCCGAATAGACCGTAAATAAACCTAGTTGTAAATTTCCTCGCGAGGCACCGTTTCTCGCCACTCACTCTTTTATAAACATCGCTTATAATTTACACTCGAATATCGCGTGATGTTATAGTTTTCTCGATTGTTTTACCATGACTAGATATGAAACTTGATTTTCAAAGTTGAATTCGTAGGAGCAACCCTGGTAACCCGACAGTGTTGGCTGAGCTATCAACGATTTGTTACAAATCAATGTACAGCTATGGTATTTCGTTTATTATTAAGCTGGTAATCCCATAGTCATAATCCTTGACAAAGATCATAGTAATTTCAAAAGTTACCGAATAATATTTTCTCGATACACACGTAAATGAGCCATCGTGTCGACATTATGAACAATTGCTACGATTTACGCCTTGTATGTTGCCAATTAGGAGAAGTCACAGAAAAATGGTACTGTATTATCTTTCTTTTCCTCTATACGATAACATATAGCAATAGTGAGATAAAAGTATGTGCACGTAAATTTTATGCCTTCTTCACATATGATTGGCTTACCTTTATTTGATCCGTTAAGGTCTCATTGTCATGTTTGACTAAGAGCAAATATTTGAGCATGTGATATAAACAATTGTTGCGAACAAACGACCATCCTGTTATTCTATATGCAATATTATAAGTCATTTATTTTATACTATTATTTAAACAAATCAAACCATCGATGACGATTAAATTTAACTTGAAGTATGAGAGTTGGATTACTATAGTTATTCGAACACAGATGTTTTGTTAGCATTGTTCGCATCCAGTTACAGCACAGCATAACGTCTACAATATGTAAATCGAAAAAGATTAACAATCTAAAATTCGTTCAAACTTGAAAAGTTTACAGAGCATATTAGAATTACAAAACAGTAAAATTTTGACAGATTAAACCACATGATAGCATGTCAGTTAACGGGAATGTGCTCGCGGAAGAAGAATCTCGTACTTTTAATATTGTAATTGGGGGCGTTAATATTATGTTTTTCTAGTTTATCGGTAGCACGGAATTTGGTGAGTCCAATCACAATGACTAGCGTTGAAAAAGAATGTAACCCTATTAATATTATAAAGACATGGTGCATGTACAAAGTATCGGAATTAGAGTTGGATAGTTCCGAAGTATGTGATCGAATTTGCCACGGCTAAACTTGGACTTTCTTACAGAGCGAATGATATTTGACACTATAAGTACTAGTACGTTCTACAATAGGTTATTTGAAAAAAGTCAAATTTGAGTAGTGATTTTTTTTTTCGGCGAGCCAAATATCTTCTAAAACTTTGTCCTGCTATCTTCTTTTTTAAACTTAATTTAGACAGACAAACGTCATATTAATGCAAACATTTACGCATCTCTCTATGAAGACCCCTATTATTGTGGTCATACTACGTCTATGTTAATGTAAATAAGTCGCCATTGACCTGAGTGAATACGGTATAACATCGGCGTGCTCAATAGAGATAAAAACTCGATGGTAAATTTTTGAACAAAAAACTCGTGTTGTGACAAACATGGCGTTTCCGGAAGAAAGTTCTCAGGCTGATGGTAAGCTCAAAAAGAGTGTCTTTGATGATATTTAGTTTGTTAAAATGGTTTATTTTTACTACATATTCAGATGTGAATAATGCAAGCAGCAACATGCTTCTGCGCGAAAGCACCGAATTGGAAACAGCTGATAAAACCGAAAGTGAAGAAGAGGCCGATGGTTCAATGACGCCACCAGTCCCTACAGAGTTCACCTATGGTAAATACACTTAACGTTTTAAAGAAGCAGACAATAGTTGAACGACTAATGCTAATATTTCTGATAATATTTTAGACGATTCGACTGACGATTCGTCTGACGGTGGTGCTTCGTCCGATTCAGATGATGATGATGATCGTCCCTTAAATGGATTGTTTGGTAAATCTAACGCTAACAATGGAGAATTTTCCTGGGATAGTACATTTATCCCAAACTTGTATCGATTGATCGAACTGCGTTCGGATACAAGCACAACCGGGACAGGTAATATCTTTTCATAATAATAAAACATGCAGTCATCCTGATAGCATCACTACCATTGTACTGATTTTGTAATGGTTTTTCTCATCGTATAGTGGATAAAGCTATTATCCACCCGATAGATTTGGGAAACCTGTGCAATGCATTGGCCCCCGAAAGTTATCATTCTATCGCCGATATACGCTTTGAGAAATTAGGGAAAGAACATCTCGATCTTGTTGGCTGCTACGGGAATCGTGAACTCATTTTAAAGCTATTGTTACAGAGCAATTGTATCGATCAGGACAGGTTAGTATTAGTAGCATGTATCGATAAGTATCAGTATTCTATCCTTAGTTTTTTTACGCTTTCCTTATGCTCATTATGTAACATAGATATGATGAACTTGTCAAGTCTGAACGAGATTCCGATTCAGTTCGTACGAGTAATTCGTTGACAACTGGCCTCTATCTACTTTTTGTCAAGCCGCAGTTGGGCTTTGTGATTTTATGGCCGGAGAAAGGTTGCTACGAGGAGAAGGATTCAGTAAACAAACAGAAAAATATGACGAATCTTCACAGGCATGTATTTGATTTATGTCGCTAAAAATTTAAATACCGCTTTCCTTAGTCATCGAATTGCTTATTTATAATCGTACAGGTTTTTGACTAAATTGACGCACCATCAATTCTGCCTAATGAGCGACAAAGACTTGGAAAGCTTTTTATGGAAACTTCCTCAAACTCGTCTCAATGGAACAACAACACGTAGCAATAGAAGCTTTAATTTGAAAGTGACAAAGAACCAGGAACAAAAAAGAAGTGTTGAGATTAGTCCTGGATTTGATGTAAGAATGTGCATACGTCTATCATATTAGGGTACCTTGCTAACGCTAATTTACAATTATTTTAGATAAAATTACCCGAACTTCCCAAACCCGATAGCAATTCATCGACAGCCTATATTGTAGAATCAGTCTCCTCACAATCATTGGTCATTGAATCACGCATTCCAGCAAGTGTTGATACTCATGAGAAAAGCGAACAACATGATGTTTGGAAATTTCGACAATTTGGACGGAGCGTACAGAGGGGGGAGTATTTTTTGAAAGTGTCAAATCTAGGCTACAAGGAATTGTGGACTTTAGTTGAAGATGGTTTCCAAGATTACAGTCTCTTGAAGCCACACAAGAATCGGAAGGAGGCAATGGAGAAGAATAGGGAGAAAGATTTTGAAGAATATAAAAACAAAATGATTGAATGGGCCAAGTGGAAGCTTGAGCAGCATTACAGGTACAGAATTTTGTGGCATTGATTTAAACAGACAGACAGACAAACAAACAAACAAATAAATAAATAAATACGTAATAAGTACCTAACGGACCTGTTTTAGTATTTTTGAGAGCGAAAATTCAAAGAACGACTTAAGTAATATCGAAGACGATCCCGGTAAGTGTTTCCCTCACCCCTTTTTTGCATAGAATATTAATATTTCACTTTCATTCTGTTGAACTATCTTTTCCCTTGTTTTCCAAACATATCATAGACTTTACCGAATGTTATAAGAATCACAAACGCTTATGCCAACGGATTGTCAGGGACTTAGAAAGCATCGACAGCATCCATTGGAAAGAGCTGAAGACGAAGTTCATTTTCGCTAGCACATTGGCAAGATTATATTCAACTGTAGTGGATTATCAAGAAAAAAATTCGTTATTTTTCGCAATTTTTAAGACCGGTAAACGGAATCTAGAGAAATTCTTGTGCAATTTGGGAAGTCACAGCAACGAGAAACTGGGTAGCGGGGAGAACAATAAGACAAAAACTGGTGAACTTGACTCTCACAGTGAAGCTGTTGATGACAAGAGCCATGACGACAAGGAGGGCCATGACGGATATGAAAATAACCAGGGAACTGATGCTTATAATATCATAAGTAAAGCCGGCGGCGCCATTGCGCGGCTCTTCGGTTGGTCAGATAGTGCAGGAGATTCAGAACAAAGCCCTTTCAAGGAGTTAATAGACACCCAGTCTAAGACGGCTGAGCAAGAGGCAGCTAATATAACAGACATCGACTTTATCTCGAAGTTATATGCTGACCAGGATTTTACCGTTTTTGAATCCGAGATGACAAGTATTAAGGATGATTTTTTAAAAACATACAAAAAATGGAAGGGAAAGAAGGATTGGCCAAAGTTTTTGAAAGGGAATACGTGGCTTGACTATTATAAAATAGATTCGACCTCGTATAAAGAAGAGACCGATGCTATGTACAAAGACATAGCAAAAGATTTAGGTTCTAAGCTTGAGTCAATGTATTCCAAGGGGTATGTATTTATATATTAACTTTTTTTTTTTATAACTTCTGCTAATTTGCTACTATTTTAGCGACGAAATCGTTATGACGAAATTGGAGAAGGTTGATTCCCGCTACGGCACAAGATATGATCTACGTTATACCATTAAAGTTAATCAACCACCTTATAACAATCTCACTATCAATGAATTCAAGCTGGATGCATTTGAATGTGGAAAAGTTAAGCAAAATCAAAACTTTTCACCGACTCCGAAGGCGTATTCTAAAAGAGCTCTCCGTATCAATAACGAAATTTATGATATCAAGCAAGTATCATTACATAGTATACATGAACAAGTGTATTCCTATATAAGTCTTATTCTTAGTAGTTATATTTTCTACTATTTAGGAATATCTCACGGTTTGAAGATGGAAAGTTTGTCTTAGTTTTGAAGGATAAAAGTAAAAGTAACAGTGAAGGAAAAGAGTCAATTGTCATATTTTATGATATCCTGGTAAATTTAGAGGCTAAATTTACACCCACCTGTTCTCCTAAACCTACGAAGTATTTGTTCTTGACTGAGGACACCTTAATTGCTATCAACGATTCTCAAGGTCTTATGGCAACTTATTGTAATGCAAGACGCAGAGTGAGTATCTTTTTCAGAGTTGTGTTCTTGTTCGTACACAATTTGCTAATGTGATTGCTATGACAGCTTGACACATATAGTTTTGATAAGAAAGCCAAAACGGTTGATGTTGATTACTGTAATATTATTGAGCCATTTGCGTCATTATCTTCAATCAGCCATTTTCTATGGATCAATAATACACGAACGCTTTTCTTCGTTGAGGAAAATGGGAACTCGCATAC